AGAGAGAGAGAGAGAGAGCACCTGGGGGTAATGTCCTAGTGTGGTGGAATCCAAGAACACACCCTGCTAGGAAAACACACAGATACACACATGCAAACACACCACCAGAGACACTCTTCCCACTCTCTCTCTCTGTCTCTCACACACAGAGCATTCTTTCATCTAAAAACTAGAAACATACCCCTGACGCAGACTGAAATCCCACAGCACTGACAGATGGATTCTTTTTGGTTTTTACACTGGCATGACTTAAAACAAAAACAAGTATCAAAGCACAAACAGACACAGGCAACCACATGCACTGGGGCTTCATACATGACTGCCTGTACTGACACATCCACACTGGCAGGAGTATCGTTCACAAGGGTTAAGGTCTGCAGTTATTCGGTTTAAGCTCTGTGTCAGAGCTTAAACGAGGCTGAGGTCAAAGATTAAGTCGGGATCATTGTGACAATTAGCTTCGACTTGGCTTTATGTGTAGAGATTGACATTTTTTTGTTCAACCTTTTTATTAGCTTTTATCAGCTTTTGAAATCAATGTCAGTATTGATCTAATACTATTTTATATATTTTTCCCCTAGGTGTCTCATATCAGCAACAAATTAAACAATTTCTGACTTTTTTACCCAATAAATTACCTTAAAATAGATATATCAAGGGCTGTGACTAAGGACTTGCAATCTGTCGATAACTATTTTGTACTAGCCCAGGTTGTTGTTTTGTTTGACCAACAGTCCAAAATCCAAAGATAAGTAGTCTAATATGATTCAAACTCCAAAACCTCCTTTTGGTGTATCACTTGACAAAGAATGTTACAAGTCATTTTACTGACAGCAGTCTCATTCCCTGCTCTCTTAAACGTTAACGGGGAAGACAAAAGGCCTTGGTTTGGACATTCCCCAGGCCCTGTTTTTTTCTCCGTCTACTTCTTACCAGGAGTTGGCTTAACAGGCCTGCTCATTGTTGTCAGGGCTGTCTGTAGGCCAGACTGAGAAAATACCTTCCACATAAAGGGAGTAGCACTGTGGACATTTCTGTGTGTATGTGTGTTTGCGTGTGCAGTAAATAGCACTGCATTCCTGCCCAGCTTCAGCGCTGTGTGCGTAATTGCTGTTAGAAAGGTAGCCGGGGTGACACCTACCTTTGTTGGGTGTGCATGCTGTGCCGACAGGTCGGAGCACCTCCCACGGCGGCGTGCTGTTTTGGCACCAGAGTGTCTTTGGAAATACCTGTTTTGCACAAAGGTGGGAAGAGACAGGAGAGGGCAGAGATGGGGTAGATGGACTGTGTTTGCACATGTAGAGATGGAAGGCTTTTCTTCATTCTTAAGGCCTATATGGAGTAGACCCAGAAAAGCTTAGCGCTCCACTTCAGCATTTAAATCATGTGTGAATAAGCTTCACTAGCCATTTGAGTGAGCCATCCTTACCACCCATATCTTTATAAATGTGCAGAGGCGTTTGTTCATCCATGAGAGGGTCGGACGACTGTCTGTGCAGTGTGTAGCGGAGGTCGTTATCAGTTGATCCCTGTCATTATGGGAGCCCTTCAAACAAACAGTTGGAAGCCCATTAAGGCCACTTACTATGTGATAACATCGCCACTGAGCCCTGAAACACCTCTCTAAGCTTTCGCCAATCAGGGCCGGAGCCCTGGCCCCAAAGCCAGCCACGGGGATGTTTTGAAAAGCTAGTAGGTCATTTCCTTCAGCCCACATGCCTCGGACCAAAATCTGAAGTCCTTCGCTGGGCTCAGACTTTCCATTCAGACCATAATTTTTAGCTCTATGTTGAGTGATGTATACAGAAAACTCACAAGAGGCTCAGCTGTGAGCGTTTTTATCTGCATCACGGTGAGATGAAATTAAAGCTTTGTATTAATAGAATGGAATGAATAGCGTGTTGAAACTTGTGTAAAAGCTGCCTGAGTCTGCTCAGTTGTGCCTCCGGTGGAAACAAGGTGAACAGCTGTTCTGTTTGGCATGGATTTATATGCCACACAAATGCATACACACACGTACATATGTATGAACATTAGCATACTGGTTGCCCAGCATATAGGCATGCATCCGTGTGTGTGCACACGCAAACACGGTTGTTTGGACACACATACACACACAAACCATTAAGCCAGGCAGACTGTGAAAAGGACCAGAATGTTCCAGCAGAAAAAAAAATACCCTCATGCAGAGTGACATAATTAAAAACACTCATTGCATTCTTAAACACACACACACACACAAGGAGGTCATGTTGGCTTAGGGAGCTCGGGGAGTTGCGTAAAGGAGCCATTTTGGTGGGAAATGTGGTATGAGAGGGAATGTAAAAGCGAACCTTTAAATGGAGGAGAGGGACAGCAGGGAAGGATGTCAACTAGCGGAGTGAAGCCTTCTCCACTGGATGCGAAGCAGAGCACAAACAGCACATTGTACCACTTTATTTATTTCCATTAAGGTTGAAGTGCTGGGTTTCAGCCCAGCCTAGATGGAGGCAGGCAGGTAGGTAGGTACGTGGCTGACTGTGAAGGTTTGGATTTGTCTGGGTGCATATACGCGTGTTTATGTGGGTATACTGTATATTTGAGGGAAGCGAGGAAGGGATACGAAAGAGAAAGGGAGCTATGTATGGATATGAAAATGATGAGCTCAGCCCCGCTACCCCTCACTTCCTTGCAGGCTGCCACCAGCTTGCCTACAGACAAAGAAAGACAAAACACCCATGTCTTATTTTTTTCTTATCTCCTTGTGTGCTCTTTACAAACCGTAATCTCTCGGAGACACCTGAGTGTTCAATATTCTGTTTGCTCTTCAGAACAAACCATCTCTGACCTCAATCCTGTCATTTACTGTCTCTGTTAGAGTTATTGAAGGAGGGGAAAATGCCCTGTGCCTGGGGTGAAAACATTACAAATGAGGATTTCAAAGAATTTCAGAAAAGCTTTAGGAATGAGAGACTTATATTGGAGATTAATAGCAGCGTTTTAGGATTGTGGGCAGCATGTGCAGTCCATGATTGATAATGGAATTCATTAAAAATATGGGCACATTATACGTTATAATTATTTAAAGGACTGAAATAGACCACTCAAAGGGATTTTTAATTGTGATACATATCAATACCATCATCTCTGATTTGGCATAATCACCTACCAATATTGTATTATTTTTTTTTAACAAGAATAGCATCTGTCATGTTGTACCTAAAATATGCAAGACATCAATTCTGTATAGTTCCAGACAAGAGTATAAGATAAAAGGTCTGAATATGTCAGACTACAAATCTCTATCCAGCAACA